ATATATATATATATATATATATATATATATATATATATGCTTACGTGTATATTAAGAATTTTGGCACAATAAGAAATAGAATCACAGTTGAAATCATTGTACATCATAAGACTTATAGATGGTTGTCAACGTGGTTTGTTTTTTTGTTTTTTTTTGGTTTTTTGTTCTTTTTTTGTATGTGGGTTTGTAAAGTATATGTTACACGCTCGCTACGAGATATGAGATACATATTGGAACGTGTAAACATAATCGACCTGAAAAATTCTCTTTGCTATAGGCTACATATAGAAAACTATACAAAAAAACATCCTACGAACTAATATATTAGAAAATTTAAGTTTCGGAAAAGATCACGCGAAAGTTGGAGATTAATCATCACGTAATTATGGGCACTGCAAAATTTAGAATTTTTTCGTACGCGTGTTTTTTTTCCCTTTTTGAATTAGGCTCGTTTGGTTACCACTGTATATTTCACAAAAAAGAAACAAAGAATTCTCAATTCGTGTCTTGACTACTTTTCTTTGTTTTATCAAATTTGTTCCGGCCGTTGTGTGTCTCGAGTATTCAGAGTCGTAGAAAAAATAAGCATCTGTTTTTAATTTTAGTTAAGTGGTCCGTTGTTCCATTGTAAACCTTTTCCTCGAATTTCTTGAGAGAGGTTTGTTCGCTACATTTACAAAGTGCATCGATTTCTAGTTTTTGTGTGTGCACACATTAAATTTAAACAGGAAAGGGTAATACACACAATACATGCGTAATATCGTTATTTAAGCATTTTGACAATGATGCACTTACGCCGTTACACATAAAAAATTTCATGTAGCAACACACTTTCATTCAATGTTACTAACCGTCTACCGACAAAATATTCGTGTATTCATATAATTCTTCCCGTTCGATCCCGACGATACTTCCCTTCTACGCTATAACCTCGTAGAGTGCGCGGGTTCATAAACGAGCGTAAGGGACCTACCTACTGTTTAACTACTTTAAATAGACCTACGAGCCACTAAAAGTAATTAAGACACCTATTCAAGGGAAGTCTCTTGGCAAGTGCGACACACCCCGGTGGTTCGTCATTGCCTTTCGAGAAGAATCGATCTCCGAAAACAAAACATTCCGATGTTATATAATCGGATTTGACTATTAGTTCCCGCGCATCTACTCTATCTAAGCCATGAATCGATCATATATCCGTACACGTTACGGGGAGATAAATGAAAATAAACGTACAGTATCTAAGCAGGAAAAAGGCATTAAATACTTTCAAGTAGTTCAAAATTACCATATCCGTATGAACAGCGGGACGTAAAATGATATACAATTAGGACAGCGGGACAAAGGCATGATATACTTTCAAGTGATTCAAAATTACCATACCTCGTGTATAAAAACAGCGCAGCGACAAATAATGATACAATTATTGGAGTAGTCTATAAAAACTTGCAACCTGATAGAAAATGCGTGAACATCAAAATTTGCAATTTTAATGCTTTGTTTCAACGTACTAATAAAAAGAGATCATCGTTTCTCAGAAATTGACTTGTAAATTAATTTAAAAAGTTTGAAGAAAAGTTTGTTATCATTTTTTTCCGCCAATAAATTAGAGTTTGCAAAATATGTAAAAGCAGTTCGATTAAATTCACGTTCCTTCTATTTCCATCCGATTTTTCGTTCAACTCATTATCTTCCAATTCGGTAGAACGTCAGCCATCAGAGTAGAAAAGTATGCTGTTACATTGTAGACCACGGTCTCGCCAGCGGCCAAAATTGCCCCGAACGAACCGTAGGTACCGTAATCTATTATACTATGATTACACGCGGCCAAAATCGCCAGATCTTTTCCTGGGCCTTTTCCGTCATTATCCGACACGTAACTAATGCGATAACGCGCGCTGCGCAAGTTGTACTTGCACCAGGTGATATTATCACTCGTTATTATGAAAATCACGTCGCTGTACTTGTCAGCGAAATAATTCATCGCTGACAAGTAGTAACTTACCGGCGCGGGTCGCGTCTTCATCTTCTGCCAGAGGTAATCTATATAATCAGTTCTGCGCACATGTACGCTCACGTAAGTCGGCGAGGACAGGTTGAATCTCTCCGCCACGTGCCTCAGCACCTTCTCCGCGTACAATCTCAGGCTCGGCTTGAACGTAAATTCCCGTCGCACGTCATCCAACCAGACCAGTATCAAAGACCAGTACGCCGCGTGCCTGTGATAAGGGAAAGAAAAGTTTTCATCTCTTGTTTATTTTTAGAAATTAGTATAGAAAATAGTAAAATAGCGTTTTTCATTAACGGTGTTTAGAGATACATGTATATTAAAATATAAACATTAACCTGGGTATGATAATGTTTTGCTCCGTGCTGTTCCACTGGCTAAGCGAGTTGACCACCTGGCCGAGGTCCAGAATACATTTGCCAATGTAGCTGAGCGGCGGGATGCTGAGATTCTCGAAGTGCTCTTCCAGAGTCTTGAGGATGCAGCGCGGCATAAACGGTTCGAGACCGGTGCGTCGTGCTGTCGCCCACACCGAAGCGTATTCCCAGATCTGATTACCGAGTCTGCCGCCCTGCGCGGCCGACACTATGCCGTACTTGGGACAGGGATTGTTACGCCATTCCGCCGTCACCCGCACGTTGCTCTTGATGGTTGTGCGACACAGTGCCTGCTCGTATACGGAGATCTTGGTGTGGCGCGTTGGCGAGGTCAACGTGTACATGGGAAACAGGAAGACATGGATGCCGAGTACCACTAACAGCGCGAGTACTATCGCGCTCGCAAGCACATGCTGTTGAACGTGACTCATTCTCCTTTCGCGCGAGCTTTATTCTTTTCGGGGGGGTGTGCTTTTCTCTCTATCGTTCTCACCCACTCGCTCTCTACTTTGTGCTTGGCTCTCTACTTTGTCCTCACTACACTGCTCTGCTCTGCTTCTTGCGCTGGCTCTCTACTTGGTCGGCCGTTCGCTCTCACTCTCTCTCTCTCTCTCTCTCTCGCTCTCTCTCGCGCTAGTCCGGCATTTCGGATCTACAGGTGTGCCATGTCCTTTGCTTTTCGACGTACATCTTAACAACGATAATGAGCAATTAGTAAGAAAACGTGCAAGTTTGCGTGTTGAGGTGATTTAAGCACTATTTTTCGAGAAAATCTTTCGAGAAGATCGTCGTACTTTATATATGTGCTTTACATTTTTATAATTTACTCAAAAAGTCGAGAATATATTGAAGTTTATTTTATTTAAGTTTCAATCTAAAAATTTAATTTAATAAAATGCATGTAATAAAAATAAAATCATAAGATACGTGCACAGAAGAGTGCACTGAGATTCAATTTTAAAAGAATATAAATGATCAAGAGAGAATATTCATTTTATAAATTTTCTTTTCTATAAACTATTGTATTTCTTATTTAATTCCAACGTTCCACATTCTGGTAACTTGGTTTGTTTTTGAAGAGTAGTTTTTCATTTAATTAATACATAAAAATGTAACGAACTAGTTTGAGTGTAATTTAAGTTCGAAGAAAATTTTATTTTTCTTCGCTAGATAATTAAAAAAGGACATGGCTGGCACACACCATCACTAAGTAAAGCCCGAGTAAAATTGCATGCAAGCAGCGCCTTCGGCAAACTTAAATGTTTTATACGAATAAACAAATAAATGTTTAAATATTTTGGAAAAATAAAAAATACTAAAGCCCCTTGCACAATGGAAGAAATAGCGATAGCGATAGAAATAACACCAGTTTTAAAGAGTTAATATTTATAAATAACAGTAGGAACAGCAGAATCTAACATACAAAAATACACATGTATCAGTGCAGATCAGAAAACGGAATAAGCAATAGCGATAAAATTTTCGACGAGTTGGAATTCTGTGTCTATTGCTTATTGCTATCACTATTCCCTCGCATTGTGCAAGGGGCTTAAGTTGTATTATAACATTAATTTGTATTTGGAACGTTTATGTAAATTTCGTTGAGCACGATTTTCAATATCGAAAATTTATCACAAATACGAGGATCTTTTTTATTACGTTTCACTTCTTTCGCAATAATTGACGCAAAGTTAATTTGCCATTAACTTAACAGCTATTTAGTGATTTTTTCCCTCTCAGATTGTAGTCTCTCAGTCACTTATATACGAACAACGTTAATAGAAGCGTAATTAATAGGAGGCGGAAATGGCCGAAGGAGAGAAAGTGATGGAAAATGTAAAACCCTTTATTACGATATTCGTTTCACAAAACATTCTCGTCTTTCAAATTGAGGACAGCGTTTAAATGTGCTGAAAAATGGTGTATGCTATATGTTATGTATATGTATATTATCATATTTACTGACATATTTACTGACTGAAACTTTCTTTTTATCGATATTTTAAGAAGGAAACTTTAAAATTAGAATTTTATATTACTTTACTTTGCCAAATAGAATGAGGTAAAACAATTTCGTAAAAAAGCAGGAAAATGATTTTGTGCAAATTGCATATTCACAATTTAACAGCAATTGCAAATACAGTTAACAAACTAAAAAAACTACGTTTAAATGTAATCAAATGTAATTCGATTGGTCTCGAGATATTGTGCAGAAATTTTTCGAGCAGAATTTTCCGCGCAGCAAACTGTGAGAAAGAGATGCAATCCGTTTTGCTGCTTTATTCTCAAATTAAATATATTGCGCAAAATCTCTAAACTTGCGGAGCGCCGCTTGAATAAGCACATATATATACATATGTGTATATATATATATATATATATATATATACATATATGTGTGTTTATGTGTGTGTATGCGCTTATTCAAAGTTATTGCGTCGCAGCTATGAAAGTTGGATGCGTGACACACATTTCCCCACCATAGTCAATACATTTCTACGCCATGCAACTCTCATCAATTCCGAGATTAATTTCTGAGAGAGAGAGAGAGAGAGAGAGAGACCATTCTCAAGAGACGCAACAAGAGGATCTCTAAAGATATCGCATTCGATATATTATGCAATTCTCTCTCGATATTCTGTCGCGGAGATAAAATTTCCTACACGATTTCTAAACACTGTTACTTCATCTCGTACATGTAAAATGTTTGTGTGTTGTAATTCCACATCTAAAAAAAATCAGAATATAACAAAGAATTCGATACACTCAAAATCGATATAAATCTATTTTTGCAATTATATCCTGTTTATTATTCCAGAATGCAGTTAAAGCATTTTTTTATAAGTCGAAAACAATTTTTACGCAAATTATCGTACATTTTTCGCTCCTCGGCCATCGACGTTCGCGTACAACAAAATCGCGATCAAAAATCGAGCTAAACGACATCAAAACTGTCTTCGGAACAAATTCCCTTATTAAAAGTAAAGCTTACTCACCCATTTTGACGTATTCCATGCGATACGAAGCGCACAGAACAACCCTCGCAACGGACCGCGAGTTCCGCTCGCTCATGTTTGCCCGGCGTGACACCCGCGGACGCTTGTTGCACCCTGGTCGTCGCTGTCCTCGTTCCTGTTTTTTTTTTTTTTTTTTTTTTTTTTTTCACGACGTCGGGCGTCGTTTCGCGGTAACGCAACGCCACCCCATTCGTGGCGAACCACCAAGCGACGCTCTTTACTCAACGTCGATCGCGCCTCTCGTTCCTCTCACGTCTCCTTTACGACACGACATCCAGAATATTCCCTCGCAAGCCGTGCGGCTTATACGATGGACCCAGTGATTGCTAGGGGTTGTGCGCAGGGGATGTAAATTCACCTTTTGAGCAGACAGAAGGCCCCGAGAACGGCCACGGTCGCATTTTACGCGATCCCGTTCGACGAGCGCCGCGATATCTACGTTTCTGTGCGCTCATCGTCAAACTACGCGAATCAACTCAGTAAATAAAAATGCCATCTTACCGATTGATTTGGTTCTATTCCGTGCTGAGTCGTGCGTCGCGCGCGTCATCGATTCGATATTTCGAGAATCGAAATATCGCGCGCTTCGATACACCAGAATTGGCGGCCAGTCGGAGTGGACGCACGACGCGAAGTGGAACTTTGTACATGATTTCTCGCGATTATTGTCGTCTCGCGCGCAAATATCTGTAACACGCGTGTGTCGCAAAGTATCAGGCATTGATAGTGACGCGTAAATTGGCATCGCGTACTTGTCTGATATCGGTAACTGACGAGTTTACGGCAAAATCGTATGGCGGCCGTTCGCGCTCTCGCGAGGCGCGCGCAGGAAACAAAATGGTAAACGCGCGACGCGAAGCAAGATTCATTTTGCACAATGCGCGCAACAACAACACAATTTCAACAAAATTTCAGCAAGTGCGTTCACAGGTAAGTGTACACGTAAGTACACGTACTTATTTGCTCGCTTTAATATCGGAAAATGTAAAATTACTACAAGCTTATCTTCGCAGGTGTGTGAATACCTCGAGTTGCCGCGTGTGTCAATTTGAGAATTGAAACGACTGCTCTGAACTCTAGGAAACAGAAACGTGAAAAGAAACAATGTAAAGATCTGCAACTTTTCACACAACATATATGTGCGATTGCCAGGAAAACGAAGTTAATTTTAGGGAGCAGCACCAGAATTTCTAGAGAGTAATCAGGTATCATCTTTTTCACATCATCATTCTCTGACAATAATATCATCTCAAATTTTATTGGTTTTACTTTCTTAAAAATATTATAAAAAATCCGACACGCACAACTGATGTGCAAAATGCTATTCTAAATCGATAAGGTAGGAAGTAACAAAGAAATATGTATGTAATATCGGCAACCAATCACAGGCGACGCATTTTGTTGTTATCAATAGATAAGTCAATCTCTTTTGTATTGGCGTGTAGGTCGCGTCGGTTGCTTGATGTGTGTTCACTAGATAATTATAATTTCTTGACATAAAGAGAGAGAGAAAAAGAAAGAGAAAGAAATGTACATATGTATATACATACTTGCTATTGTGATAAATCGAATATGCAAGAGACATTTGAGAAGTATACTTTAAGGTAGAACATGACGAATAAATAATCTTAATAGTACAAGCAAGTAAGGCGATCTTCAAAATTGTATCTTCATTGCTAAGATATTGAGGTATTAGTAAATGGTGCAACTTCATGTATAAAAGCATTGTATAACATTGCCCGTACACAATTATTTCTTGTTATTCTTATTACTGATAATATATATACATATAATATTAGTAATATTTCATGTAATAAAGTTTTATGATTCGTTGCTAGAAGATTCAATTGGTTTTGTGATAATTTTCATAACAAAGAGATAGAAACGCACTACAGAACGTTATATAAATAGCACGCGCGCAATCGATAATTTTTCAATTATCTGCACAACATAGAAATAAAAACTAACAAGTGCTACGTGTTAAACACACACATATTCTTTTATTGCTTCGGTGTCTCGAGAAAACCTTGTTCGCTGTCAGCTCGTAATTTTATCCGACTCTATTATCCGACACGAAAACGTACTTATATGAATAACACAGTCGTCTGCGGGGAGGTCTTTATCGCAATGCATGTTTCTTTAATGCGCAAGTAATATTACATTATCAAAGCAATCTTTTGTGAAATAATATTCAGTGAGCTTTCAAAACATGTGGTTTTCTACAAAACAGTATAAAAACAAATTGTTTGCATAATTTTACATAATTTTACGAAATTGCATTAAGCGCGCACCGCAAGTATTTTTATATGATAATTACGCTTCTAGATCCGTGCGATCTCATAATTTCGAGTACAACAAGAAGCTAGACAATACAGTTCGAGCTTTGTCTTTTGTTGCAGAGACCGTATCACGTCGTAAGATTCAAAATTTTCTGAGGAAAGTTACAAAGCCAGAACAAGTCTCGTGCACTTTTAAGGCCGCATATTCAGCGAAAAAGTTAATGATGCTACACACCGCCCGCACAGCAGATTACATAAAAACTTCTATTCGAGAGCAGTCAAACTTGATGTGCAGTTCAAAAGGTTCGTATTTTATATACTTATACACAATACATATTACATGACATTTTTCTAGAGAAATTTGTCGAGAGATTAAAAATGTAGAAATGTAGAAATATTTGCGGATCATTAATTGTTCTTATGAATTTGTCAAAACGTGTTTTGAAGCACGAATTTCCTTCACGTGAATTCACATCGCGTTTTCGTGGACGTGCGCGATATCGAAAGCCCTGATTTTTCTCTTGTGCTTGTCAACTGCATTGACCGGGGCCGAGTTTTCGATTCTTACGAAATCTTTTCGACCACGAAATAAGACGCGGACGGAATGAGCCGCAGCGAGAAATTTCTCGGACAAGTTTTATATGTCGGAGTCACAGATCGCACACATCCTAAGAGATATATTTTTGCGTGCTTGTGCACGAGCGGTATTACCGATTACTCAGAGACTGAATTTAATTATTGAATTGCTTATTACGAAACAAACGAATTAACTTAATTACAAACAAGTTGAAAATTTAATTTTTTTCTGAAATTCTGAGAGAAAAATTAATAGACAGCCGTCTATTTTATATTCGCGAGGGTAGTAATTTTTTTAAATCTAAAATTAAAAGTTTTCTAACTGTTTAATATTTTGCGGAGATAAATAGTACAATGAGTTTTATAATTTTATAATATACAAACTTATTAACTTAGATTTGTTTTCTGTTTTCTCCGCCTGCAGTTATTTATGTTAGTCGATTGTTACATAAACCAACGGAAATAACATTTACATTCATTTGTCAATGATAAAATTTTCTTTGACGTATCGAGCGGAAGCAACGGAAATTCAAATCGATCGAAATTATACCGGCGCGCGGTCTCAGTTCCTCTGCTTGCTCGTCTCGTTAGCTTCCGCACAGAAATCCTCCGTTCCTGTGCTTGCGCAGGTGCAAGCTCACTGCGACATGCATACGTAGTACATGCGTCTTGTATGCACTACGTATCGTTTTGTTGGGGGATGAGAAGGTGGCGGAGAGAGAGAAGAAGGAAGACACACCGATTGAAATCGCGCACAGCGCGACGGCAGCCGGTCCATGCTATTGACAGGCCGTCTTTTATAGGTATGTGCATCGCAATTCTTCCGCAATTTTGCTGCGGCCCTTTTGGAACTCCTTTTTCCTTGGCAATCCGGCATTCGATATCGTGCTACCATCACCCCCTTTATCTCACCGTGGTCTTTTCATTTTCCATCTTTCCCGCTCGATTTAACCGACAAGTTCCGGCGTTCGCATTCTACGTCTTTTCCCTCGCCTCGCGGATTTTTAAGATTACATATCGCGTTTTCATGAAATAGTTCTTTTATACTAGCGTGTAGAAGTAAAAGTAAAACCATAATTAATCTCTCGAAATGTTATATATAATTAGGAGAATAATTTTGATTTACTTTAATTAATATCTTAAAAAAGAGAGAGAGAAGGAGAGAGAACACATAGAACAGATCTACACGTAATAAAACAATCAGAAATAGTCCGAAAACATATCAAAAATTTCGTGCGTTTTATGTGAGAATAAAAATGTTTAGCGATTCAAAAGAGATTTGTTCGACAAAGCACACCTGTGTAAAATATATCTTCGTTCGGAATATGATTTAGAGTGTGAGAAACGCAAAATCAAGGCATGATTCGGCAGCTGTCAAAACATATGACAAATCTATATTTTGATTTCATTGTGTAGTCTGGGTTTTCGTTGTTGAGCCGAAAGAAGAGAGTTTTTGATACGTTTTACGAGTGTGCTCTGTTGATTCCACGTGCATTTAAACAGAAATAATCTTTTATTTTTACACAAAGTGCACGAAACTTTCGCGTATTTTGTTTGCTGTCGTCATTAGTTCAAGGCCGCGGAAATATCGAAAAGTTTTAATCAATAAAATTATATTTAATATAGTTTTCTATGAGTGAACGTAAAGTTTTGTATAAGTCTCGGTAAAGAAGATGCATTTGTTTATGTACTTGTTTATTTCAATATTTGACTTATTATTGAGATGGCCGTAATAATATCTTCGGTTCACGTTCTCTGAACCTGTCAAGCGTCATCAAACTCGATCACTTGCAAACCTGGTTTCCGGCTAGTCGTAGTTTACATCGACGCCTCGGCGTTCGCGCTGAGTTTAGGTTCATGGCAGAGTTTGCGCGAAAATTGCATTTCGGTCGTCGTTGAGAATCAAGGCAAACGATATTTGATCTCGAACCGGTATAGACTGAGGGGAGGAAACGAGAGTGCGGACGATGCAGTGAGCAGAGTGCACTTTGCGCTTTGCGCACGAGATATGATGTGATTTAGCGAACGGTTTTACATGTGAGATGCATTCGTCTCTTTAAATCTACTTCAAAGATCCTTCACAACGTTTCTGTCACGTCCACATCGATATTTCAGTACAAATGCAACCCCAATACATCTGCGTTGATTTATAGAAACCGAAGTAAAGAAATATCCAGATGGGAAATATTTATTCTTTTATCTATAGGTTTTCTTTCGCTCGCGGTTATATATTTATACTTTCTTTCGGACTATATTAAAGATTGATTTTATCGACAAACGTTTTTAATGTGAACTATCCAGTATATTAAAATTAAAGTTGCAGATTTTAGGACATATTGTGCATTTTGAAAAACCAGTATTACAGTGATGTCTTTTTTACTTTTAAAAGTTTTCTTGCTCGTGTCATATTTGTACGGACGCAACGACAAATAAAGTGTTTGACAAATATAGAAATCACATTAGTATACAATAGGTACATGATAAATTTAATGAGAAGAAAACAGATTGAAAG